TCACTTGAACCACCACCATCATATCACCAAATCACTTGAACCACCACCACCATCGTATCATCACCAAATCACTTGAACCACTACCATCGTATCACCAAATCACTTGAACCACTACCATCGTATCATCACCAAATCACTTGAACCACCACCATCGTATCACCACCAAATCACTTGAACCACCACCATCATATCACCAAATCACTTGAACCACCACCATCATATCATCACCAAATCACTTGAACCACCACCATCATATCACCAAATCACTTGAACCACCACCATCGTATCACCAAATCACTTGAACCACTACCATCGTATCACCAAATCACTTGAACCACTACCATCGTATCATCACCAAATCACTTGAACAACCGCCATCACATCATCACCAAATCACTTAAACCACCACCATATCATCACCAAATCACTGGTACCACCACCATCAAATCACTTGAACCACCACCATCATATCATCAGCAAATCACTTGAACCACCACCATCGTATCATCACCAAATCACTTGAACCACCACCATCATATCATCATCAAATCACTTGAACCACCACCATCGTATCATCACTAAATCACTTGAACCACCATCGTATCATCACCAAATCACTTGAACCACCACCATCATCACCAAATCACTTGAACCACCACATTGTATAATCACCAAACCACTTGAACCACCACCATCATATCACCACCATATCACTTGAACCACTACCATCATATCATCAACAAGTCACTTGAACCACCACCATCATATCACCACCATATCACTTGAACCACTACCATCATATCATCAACAAGTCACTTGAACCACCACTATCATATCATCACCAAATCACTTGAACCATCACCATCACATCATCACCAAATCTCTTGAACCACCACCATCGTATCATCACCAAACCACTTGAACCACCACCACCATCATATCACCACCAAATCACTTGAACCACCACCATCACATCATCACCAAAGCACTTGAACACTATCATTTCTTAACACCACCACTATCATCATCATAATCACCACTTCTTATCATCTCAATACCACCACCTCCATCATCATCAACCACTACCTAAGCTACTACCAATCTCAACTACATCTCTACCACTATCTACTTTTCCCCTTCATTTCTGTTGCAATAAATCTAATGTATCTCAGTTCCTCTGATCATTAGATTATGCCTTGACTTGGGATTGCACAACAAGTTATCAGATTAATTGCAATAAAAAATTGGGCCTTCATTCAAATTGAAAGGAGATTTGGACACCATAATTTGAACTCTGTGGAATTTAGTGAAGCCGTAGTGAAGCCAGAGTTAAACTTGGCCTTTGGGCAGCCAATTTCATCATCATTGTTAACGTTCTATTTTCCATCCAATACTTCATGTTTTTATTGGAAATAATCAAATATTTGAAAGCAAACACAGCTACATTAAAGAAAGAAACAGGATACATTGTATTTTAAATGGAAACACAAAACAGGTCTGTATTTTCTTAAACAATTAAAACTCTCAACAAACAACAGTTTTCAGTTGTAAACAACTTCTCATTACAGAGTGAAATGGTAAAAGACATTCTTCATTAGGTTTGATAATGCTAAACCCAAAGCCATAAATATACGTCCTATCCTATTATAGCGTTACTTAAGTAAAACAATTAGCTTCTGAATATGGAATTCTTATGTGGATAAGTACCAAGTCATATGGTAATAATACCAAAGTAGCAACTCATTAGATTTTTAGAATAGCTATAGACCAGGTAATGAGTGCAACGGTTGGATCCATGGCACTATTAATATGCAAGCTTACTTATTTGGAAAGAGCAGTCTTGAATGACATTTATTATTTTTTCACCAAATTCTACAACCTTTTAATGACCCCAATAACAGTATTCCCTACTATGCTTGAAATATTTGTGTAGTTTAGTTTTACGAGTACCATTCCCCCCCCCCCTTTGTTTCCTTTTCTTCAAGGTTTGTTCAAATTTTCATTATTAATACATTCCAACAAAACATCTGAAAGGAAAACAATCAAGCTTTTATGAGATTTTGTGTTGTTGGAACTGAACAGCATTTGCAATACCTTCATATTCATATTTTGCTGAGATAAAAAAAGACATGCCGTATATGACCGATTCATATACATGTAAAACTTGAGCAGATGATTTAAGATTTTATCTGTGGTACTAATAACATTTTCTTTTGGGTAAAATCTCTAAAAGTACCATATTTCTGAGTCATAATGGACTGGATACTACCACTACAGAATCTTAATGGGCTACCTTTACCACAAACTAGGAAGTTTGTCTAAAATGTACAGGAAGAGTTTCTAACATTTTTGTGTGGAAATACAGTATTTGAATATGAGTAAATTCTAGTCCAACAACCTGCTTTCAAAATGGGGCAAATATTTCTAATTTTGGCACATTTTTACAACTTGAACCTTGCGCTCAAAATGAAAAAATGAAATAGAAGCACAGAATTGAGTGGATATATAAGGAAAGACAAATTTGTCAAAAGTGACAATGAAAAACTCAAAAAGTAAGTGTGACAGCAAAATATAAAATGCTGAGACCATTTACAAAACATATTGATGATATGCCTTCACAAATTTCATAACGGTAGTACTCTATACTTGATAGTAAGTTGATACTTGAATGTTAAGTTTGGCAGTACTTCTGAGGACTGTATATCATATCAATCACATCATCTATGTTTTCAATATACACATAAAAACTCTGTTGACATGAAATCTACAATGTCTTACATACATAATGACTTGTATTGCTATTGATGAAAATGTTCATACATGTACATGAAGGATCATTCTAAATTTGTGTAGAATTATTGCCATGCATAGCATTTTTTTTCCTTCTGATTTTCCAAATTTCATAGAAAACCCCAAACTCTGCAATAAAATCAGACATTTAATTCTTTGTAATATATTTGTATATATCTACAGATAATATTCTTCTATTTACATATGTAGTACTTGGTAACACACTACTTACATTTCTTATAACTTGAATGAATCATATTGCATAAAAACTTAATCTTTCATAAATATATTGTTTGATAAATTATCAGAATGAAATAAAACACATTGAAACATTAACAAAAAGTTACAACATAAGTCAAACTTAATAACATAAAGTTGCATAAACGTAATAAATGAATTATTCACATTAAAAAAAATACATTGCATTGAATATAATTTATAAATGCACAAACTATTCATTTTCGCTTTAAATCTTTACAGTTTTATGTACAATACATGTGACATAAAAATGTCATAACATTAATACCACTGGTATACAATTAATTCCACCCTGATATTGATATTTGATACATGTAGCATTTATATGTCAATAATGCATATAATTTAATGATAAAATGTAATGCAAACATCACATAATTGCTGAATGAATATAACAATACCAAGCAATGAAATGTTATAGAGTAACAACTAGTACCATCTGCATGTACAAGGTCATAAACGTGTGATGGTTAAGTAATTTTCTTTTCTACCCATAAGAGACATGGTTAACTTGTCTGGCACAGAGTTGAATCTGTAGTCTTGATGTAATACCAATTTCAATAAACTCCTCACATTTCTCTGTCTCTATTATATCTCAATATCATGTAATTCCTACTATCCAAACAAAATGTATTTGTATTTTTAGATCTAAGATTTAAGATCTATGGAAATTATTAGGATTGAAGTTTATTCTTTCAGGGCCCATTGCATAAAACTTGAACATCGATGGTAGCTTTGCCATTAATGATATCTTCCATGGAAACCTTGATTAGATTAGCTGTTGACTGATGCTGCCATTGTAGCTAATCAGTAATAGCTTGTATGCCACAGGGCTCTGAAATGGGATATAAATGTAACTTGAGGCAAAATATACCCACCCCCCCCCCAAAAAAAAAACTACCGTAATCTTTGAGTATCCCTCAGTAAGCTTGGAATGGTGACTTTTTATTAGATAAATTATATTCTCTGGTTTGATCACAGTTTAGGACTTATATCAATTTGCAAGAACTTCACATGGAAGCTATGATGAACATAAAGTTATATGTTAAAATAATATATCGTTTTATAAACAAGAACTTCATAGTAGTACAAACACCCTCCAAAAGTATAATTTGGTTTTAATATCTCAATATAATTCTAATATTTCACAGAATAAAATACATACATAGATCAAGGTAAAACACCAGTAGGCCTACAGCACACAATTTGAGATATTTGTTGTCTTGTCTTTGGCTCTTAAGATATATTGTTCCTAAGTAACTTTATGAGAAGATTTTATTTGAAATCAATTATTTAATATCAATAGATTTTTTGGAGGAATCGTCTTGCTATTTTTCATATTTTAAAAATCAATGAATGAATCTAAAATGTTTCGGAAAAAGAATTTAGATTGCTCTACCTAAAATATGTAATGATGGCCGGCGTATAAGTTGTAAGGAGCGAAGTTAGCACACTATATTCATTGTTGAGGGCAGAGAAAGTACTATTCATGCAGTGCACACAATGAGAAAAAGACACGTGCCCAATGGCAAGTTTTTTTCGGCAAGAATTGCTCAAAATATAAATTGATTCAAAAGGAGCACACTAGAGTTGTAAATAGTTTTTTTCAGGCAACATTCAGTAAGTCACCTGACTAAATATTGTTAGTACACACAGTCACACACTATTGTTTGCACAACCAAACTACAAAGAAGATATGCATTAACAAAAGGTATTTATGTTTCAGGGGGGAAAAGAAGAAGACTTGAACAATATGAAGTTTGTATGACCAAACATTCAATTAAAATACATATATGTATATAAATTATATTAATCAACTTTGGTTTCTAACTCTATTATTAAATAATCTCCCCTCAAACAAGCAAATATGGCACGGATTGACTTTCAGGGCTATATACAGTATTATTTCTTCTGTGTAACATTTCCACAAAGTGACTGTTTTTTTTCTTTCGTTCTATTGTCAAGACAAACTCATGACAATCAAAATCTGTTCTTGCAAGTTGAATCTATTATCAAAAAGAGCAAACTAATTGATTGCATAAAATTGTACTGGCACATGACTATGCTTTAATTGGCAGCAATGTTGTAAAGTAATGAAAAATATTTATGTATCAAATATAATTTTCTTGAAGTGGTGTAAAATGAATAATATAGCAAATGGAATGCTTATCATTCAAGATATTAAAGAGAAGAAAAACCTGAATAATTTGAAGTTGTCTTTTTAACAAAAATCTGGATAATACTTTCAATATTCAATTTAGGACAAAGAAAGATCCCTCAATTGACATCATTTGGATGGTTAGTATCAAAACAAAGATCAAATTACTGAACAAAGGGAGCTCTTGTTTTTCTTTGCTGCCAGGGCTTCCTTGCATTGTTGGCTCATCTGTGAGCCCCGTTTCTTGGGTTCACCGCCCCCAGTACTCCTACTACCTTCCTGCTTCTGTATGCATTCCAACGAAGGTTTCTCATCAAGGGTATCCAGTTGGGTCCTGTCGTTCTGGAGGATCGTGCTCTCCATTTGTTTGCTTGTTTGGAGGGAGGGAGGGGAAGATCCCCAATCTATTCAGAAGAAAACAAATTAAAAATATAATAATTGCTGACAACGACCAAATTCAATTCAGTAAAAACAGATTAACACTTTTCGAGGTTCTTTACGGTATATTTTTCAACAAATTTAAAAGAATCAAATAAAAAAATTAGAATACTTGCCAAGAAATGGCAAATATTGCTTACATTTAGGATTTACTAACTCCTTGACTGATATAAAATGCATCATGATCATTTTTCTCTCTGCAGAATATCATCAATTCTTTTTTTCTTCTAATATGAATATGGACAGTCACAATGACTTCTTTCTGATACATTCCTCATAAATGTCCACATTTTCCAGGGGAGTAATTTAAATATTTTCAAAATCTCTCAAATTCTTCCAAGATATGTCAATGATCTCAAACGAGTCTGAAACAGAATTTATCACACTTCATGTCAAGACGGTTACAATGTACAGTTTACAATAACTGAGAGGATATGGTAGAAGTGGTTGGGGGCATTATTCTCTGATTATTTACATGTTATGGTATACAATCTATAGGTAATCCACATTGATTATACAATGAGCGAGAGAAGGGAAGGGGGGGGGGACAAGAAATAAGGAATGAATAGGAGGGACATAAAGACAGAAAAGGTTTTTTTTAAAGAGGAAGGAAGAGAGAGAGAGAGAGAGTACAAGACACATAGATCTTCAAACTAAAGAAGTAAGGCGTACAACACGATTAATAAAAAAAACACACCGGTATTGATAATATGAGGCACAAGAATATTTGAATGCATTGTTTATATTACATGGACATGATGGTTATTTCTGTATTGGCAGGAAGAAAAGAAATAATACGCTAATAACAGTAATGATAATAATGACATAATGATGATAATAACAATAATAATACTAATATTAATAAACCAATTTTAGGTTGAATTTTGCTATATAAAAGCATTATATTATTAACTTTGGGACACTTAAGAGCATAAATTTTATCAGCTTGTTACAACCGCAATAAAAATTCTAAAGCTACAAAATGAATCTACAAGAGAGACTTTGAGGGTGGAAGAAGAAGGAACTGCGACACTCCCAAAATCAAACTCACTGCAATAAGACATTTCAAAGGGTAAAATAAAAAGTGCAAAATTTTAAAATTAAAAAGAAATGATTATCCACAACATGCAGCTGATATACAAAATATATTGCAGAGTGTATCTTTCATGCCCAAAGTGATTTAGTCCACTCCGCATTAAAGGGGGGTAGCAGCAACATTCATGCAAAGATTTCAACAAGTATCAATTCTCTGGCTCTTAATTAGAACGTTGTTTTACAAAACTAGCTGTCATCAATAACAAGTAACAAAGTAGAAAATTTGTCATTGATCTATGGTAGTTTTCATTGAAAACAAGTTTTATGAAACAGAGATCATCGTTGGAATATCAGGCAATTTATTTTCAGATGGCCTTCCGGTATGCAAAATTAACAAAATTGACAGACATCTTATAATCCTCCAAGGCTTCTTTTATCAAACAATATCAACAAACATATGTGTCATGATGAAGAAATATAAACAGGCTACTTTGAAGTTGGCTTAATTCAGTTGGGCTAGAAGTGTCATAGTCGAGTTGTTTAAGCACCGACTTGAAATTTGTAGGTCGTGGTTTGATTCCCCACACGACACTAATGTCCCTTGGGAAGGCATTAATCTACATTTGCCACTCTATACTCCAGAGAGAAATGGGGACCCGGCAGGATGATGAAAGCATTTGTGTAAGTAATTGTATATGCCCTCAAAGGTGACCATATGGAAGGAATACTACCCAGGGAGTGGAGATGGTGCATATTGTGCGTGAATGAATCCGATGACCTGGCACTTATAGATGGTATTTCATATTAAGCGCTATATAAATCAAGATTATTATTATTAATTAGCTACAGGGCCATTTCTGAAGGTCAGAAAGCAGAAACACTCCCAGCATTCTTCAAATAAATAGCTTGTCAGTCAAATATACTGCTGTACATATGAGCAACCAAAAGAATGCATAAAAGGGTAGTTTTTATGCTAAGGCATGTATATTAAGGGTGTCAAGTGGACACAAAATCAAGAAAAAGGGTGTTTTTGTTGAATTTGTAAAAACACACTTGGGATACCTTTCCCCCCATCCTTAGCCTATTTTTTGGTGGAGCCTCAAATTTTACAAATCTCTTCTGACAACGAAAAGAAAAGAAAAGAAAAGGCAGAAAACGAGCGAACTAATCATCTCGGAATGGAATGCAGCTGAGTACAACTGTGTACTGTATCCCACTTCCCAGTTTAACAGACAGACATGGAGGTTAACATTGTTTATGACTCTCTGTATCTTCAGGGAGAGAACTCATGGACAAATAACTTAGTGTTGTCATATACTATATCAATTTTAATTGTTAATATCAATAATAGTTATTGTAGCAACTAGCAAGTACTTAAAGGAGGATGGAAAAGGTTGGAAATGTTGTCAAATTTTGATATATTTTGCATGTATATAAAGAAGAGTCTTATAAATGAAATAAAGTAAATATTAAAGCCACACATTGTCATCCAGCCAAGAAATCTTTGTTTGAAGTTACCAATTTGCAACTCTAAATTTTGCCCGCTGTGCATCTTGGTTGTTACATCCAGGACTTGTGTGACATAAGAGAGAAGATTCGCCGCTAATTTATAGTGCATGTACTATGTCTATGGACGTACGTTTTGCCTTTGATCTGTTTTCTGATAGAACAAAACACGCAACAAATATGTTTTTTGTTGTTATTACAGCAATGATATCAATGCAAAAAACGAGACAAAATATTGACAAATATTTCAGCAATTCTATTTACAAGCCTCAAAAAGCTGTCTTTTATGCCCAAAATCTCAAACTGCTGTAAGAAAAATGAGTGCGCAGACTTGGGGACTTTTGTTTTTGCAGTATCAAAATGACACGGCCGTCTTTTCTTCTGAAAATGATGATGTTCTTTTGCGAATAAAATCAAAAAATCCTTGACAGACTTACACTGTAGAATATCAGGAATAATATAAGATTAAGCATTAGAGGAATCTAAGTGGACTTCTGGTTCAATTCCAAGTCTTAATTGTCCGTGCACAGACATAGAGCTCCCCATCATACCTCAGTCCCAGCAAAGGCAATCCGATGTCATGCCGGCCACATTAGTGACATTCCCAAATTATTATTTTCATGCATTAAAATATCATTATGACAATGCTACACTAACCACAAGACTGTATAAAACTCAATAAAATTATTCTTCCGAGAAGGATGACCACATAAACGTTAGATTAATTTGATGAAAGGGGAGATAAAACCGGGGGGGGGGGGGGGGGGGGGGGGGGTACTCACATATTAAGACATACAAGGGTGTGCCGCTCTAATGGGTCACTCTTTTACAAAAATATCACTAAACATGGGTCCGATTTTCCAAAATTTTAAAATGTATTTGGTCTTTCTGAATGCAAGTATTGTTTTAGTGTGAAGTTCTACATTTACTCTTGACATAAAGTTTCTTAACACATTTTCTATGTGCATGGTCCAACACCTGATTTTTATTGCACAAATTATATTTTCTAATCCTAATAGCAACTATCAACGGTACCCAGGAGACTGTTCACACCTAATTGTAAACAATTCAATTATTACAGTGCCTTTAATACTAGAGATAAATACGCCTGCTGTTCAACAATAATATTGATAAAATGTAATTAAGTACGTAGACATTTGCACTGAAATGTAATTTCTGCAACACACTTCATATATTATTTCTACAAATATGATTAAATGCACTTTGAATATATCAATTTTGGTTCATGAATATGACTTTTTTTTAAGGAAAGATAACTCCATGCTATTTGAACACCATTTCATGCATATTTCTCAACATACAAACCTATCCCACAATCAAATGCTATAATATGATAATAGTCATGTATAATAACATAATAATATACATTGTAGGTATACATTTTTAAAGAAGGAAACTTATTTCTACTTTTCTTCATTCTAAGATTTGACTATTTTAATATATGTGTGTGTTATTCAGTGGTTGTTGAGATTCAATCAACTCATTATGATATATGTTCCCAACAGGCTATCTAGATTCAGAGTTGATTACAAAGTTAATATATTGGTGGTAGTTGGTCGAGTCTATTTTATTTTAAAAAATCCATATAATACTAGGAAACCATCTTCCCTACTCAGAATCAATGCTTGCATTCCATTCCAAGAAATTAAGTCTTGTTTTGAAACTTAATGAAAGAACAAAATTATTCTATAAGTAAACTAATTCCTACATGGGGCAAAACAATAATTGTATGTAACACTTGATTCAACAAACCATATACAAAATCGAATCCGGACACCTACCCCCTGGACATCAATCCTCACCCCCCCCCCAGTCAACTATCCCTTAGGACAAATACCCCCGGAACAACCACCCCCTAGGACAACTACCCCCTAGGAAAACTACCTCGGACAACTATCCCCCAGACAACTACCCCCTAAGATAGTTTTCCGGTGGGTAGTTGTTCTAGAGGATGGTTGTCGTAGGGGGTAGTTGTCTGGGGGTAGTTGTCCGGGGGGTAGTTGTCCTACAGGGTGGTTGTCCTAAGGGGTAATTGTCCTATGTGGTCGATGACTGGGGGTGGTTATCCATGGGGGGGGGGGTGGATGTCCAGGGGGTAGGTGTCCTAGAACCATACAAAATATATGTATGTAGCCTCTCTGATGTATATGGCTAAATATGGACAATAACAAATGTGATGCCTTTGGTAATACTGTCAAAATATTTTCAAAATGAAGTCTTTTAGCTTATCAACATACCGGTATATAATTCAGCTTTTAACAGTGCAAAACAGAGAGCAGAGGCTTTGTGTTGAAAAATACCAGAAATATTGCTATCAAAAGGAAAACTGTAATAATTGTCTTACCCAACAAGACATATAGTAAAAGTATTGAAATAGTCTGAAAAGAAAAATATTACATTTGAA